TGTTTTGTCCATGTGTCACATGCTTGGGTTCAATACAAGTTATGATGCATTATTATGACTATAGCACTGAGGAGCCCCAGTCATGAATAAAGACCCTATTGTGCTACACACTGTGCAAACACAGAAGATAGTCCTTGTTCATTTTTAACTGAGACTCTGTGTGCACACATATTTATTGTTTGGTACAACTATTTATTATTTGTATTATCATAGCACTTTAGAGCCCTCATCATGGAACCGGACACCTCTGCATTAGGTGCTGTACAAACACCAAAGAAAGATACTTCTTGTCTCGGAGAGCTTAAGCAGAAGACAAGAGACATCAGACAAATAAAAAAAGAGGTGCGGGTACAAGGGAATGAGAACTTTGATCAGGCACTAGTCTGAGCACATGAGTAATTTAACTGTTGTCAACCTCTTTGTGGGCCTCACATCAAAGGATAGTTTGAAGGAGGGCTTTTTTTGTGGTTGTTTATTGGAAACTTCTCTCAAGCATAAGGGCATCTTGGGAAAAAGCACAAAGGTGCTTTATTTGAAAATGTAACTAGCAAGTGGTGGAGGCTAGTGTCATGGACCAATCAGAGGTAGGAATTGCCTTTTTGATGAGAATTAGAAAGATTAGAACAAGTGGAGATTCATTGTGAAGGGTTTTGAAAGTGAAGACAAATAGCAAGCTATGAAGCGATACAAAGGAGAGAGTGATAGAATCAAAGAGACATGCTAAGGTTAGAAAATGATCTTTGCAGCAGCATTCTGAATGGATGTCAATAGTATAAGAAAAAAAATTAAAAACACAAATAGTTCCGCAGCACCTTGGAGACTTACAAAAATGTACATGGTATCATGAGCTATTGTGGGCACAACCTACTTCTTCAGATAAGTAGCAGACAAAGAGAGGGGATGGGGAAGGAAAGAGTAGTGCAAGAAAGCATTTAAGGCCAGAGAAAATGATGTTGCAGAAATTGAGACATAAGATGAAGAGAGTTTCAGCTGCCTGTACACTAACCCAAGTATTAATGTTGCTATGCTCAGCCAACACAACGCTTCCCTTGGTATCTGAAGACCAAATATATTTATGGGCCCTATTCTGTTTTAATTGAAATCAATAACAAAATTTCTGTTGCTTTAAAGGGGAGCAAGATTAGCTGATAACTGAATAACTAAGTCACGTGCAAGTATTCTCCATGGACACTTGGAAGGAATTAAATACTTTCTTTGATTCACTCTCAGCAAATCCATAAATGATTACCAATCTCAGGGCTGAAGACATATTCATAACCCCTGTGCTCCTGTTACTTGAGGTATTTTGGCTAGAGGATCTGTATAATCTTTCAATCCCTGCCTATTTCTTCAACCCCACTCTCTCTAATATTTTATAAAGAGTATCTGCAAAATGGTGTAGAATAGATGGCACAGCATTCCAAGGTTCAGCCTCTTAGGCTATGTTTATACAGCTTCCCTCTTCCACAAAAGTCTATGCAAGTGAAGCATGGATTAGCATATTGCTGCACTTCATTTGCATAATTAATTAGGAGCTGCTTTTTCGCAAGAGGTTGTTGCGCAAAAATGAGCCGTCTACACAGCACCTTTTCGTACAAAACCCCCTCTTGTGCAAGAGCCGTTCTTCCTAATTTTTTCAGAAAGAATGGCTCTTGCGCAAGAGGGGGTTTATACACAAAAAGGCGCTGTGTAGATGGCGCCTTTTTGCACAAAAATCTCTTGTGCAAAAGGGCCTCCTAATTAATTATGCAAATGAAGTGCTGCAATATGCTAATCAATGCTTCATTTGCATAGGCTTTTGCCAAAGAGGGAAGCAGTGTAGACATAGCCTTAGTGACTCAGATATGCCATTCTGACTCCTTTGCTTTGATGGAATTCTCCAGTCTTTCCACCATATACACTGGGACCTTAAATGTGTAGAGTTCTTTTAGAAAATCTACTGAACAATTTTTACTTGCATTGTAAGCTCTTTAAGGCACAGACAATCTATTTGTTATTTATGTAGTATAGCATATTGGGAGCCTCTTGGCATTACTCATCATGAAAATGCAGTTTTGTTTGCTTTAGGAAACAGAAGCACCATTATTGGTCTCTAAAGAGTGGTAGTTTGTTTTTCTGGGGGGAGATGATGGGATGAGGAGAGGGGGTTGGACCCAAATGAGACCATTTATTAGTCCAATCCTATTCACCACATTCAGTCCAGACTGAAGATGTATTAGGTTAATGTTTTCCCTCTTATAGTGGGTAAATAGACTATTTCCTTTGATCAGTTTATTCATTTACCAGTTATGTAACTTACTGACATGTACCAAGTTTAGTCATTGAACAATACCTGTAGTCACCTAATATAACCCTCAAGTTAATCGCGAATGTTACAAATATTTGTGGCTATTTTGATTTGTTGACATACAAATATACCTAGTTTGATCTGTAATTTTTTTTTCCTTTTGTGCCACTTTTCCTGGTGATAGCACGGACAGTAGGGATCAACAGACATCCTTTTTCTTGTAACTGGTTCCAGATCCTCCTGAGGGATTCCCACGTGTTCCCAAGCCATCCAGGAGATATAATCTCTCCAAAGTGTCCTGGATGGAACTCTGGTCCTCCTCCCAGTGGGACTTGTCTGGTAGAGTTCCAAAGGAAGCCTACCAGAAAGCATCCTTATCAGGTGCCCAGCCCATATCAGCTTCCTCCTCTTGATCCAGAGGAGTAGTGTCTTTCCTTTGAAGCTCTCTGGAATAGTGGAGCTCCTCACCCTTTCTTGACAGTAAGCCCAGCTTCCCTGAGGAGAAACCTCATTTCTGCTCCTTGTACCCACAATTTCATCTTTTTGGTCATTACCCAAAGTTCATGACCACAGGTGAGGATGGGTAGATTGCCCTCAAGCAACCCAAGAGCTTGCTCCTTATCTGGCCAGAAGGAAGGGAATGTGCAGTGGGGAAAGAATAGATTCAAATGGGAATTAATGCATTCACCTTTGGCCTGGCTGCCCACAACTCTCCTGTCAGGGGATCAGGTAAAATCTGAGTGATTCAGTGAGCCCATGTTCCAGGCATCAGGTTACTAAGCCCTATGCACTAGGTGCAATATGGGAGCTGTGGAATGAATGCAGGATCACTCTGCAACCCCCCCCTGCTAATCCTCCTAATAATGTGACCAGACGTCCTCCTTTTGAAGGGCTTGTCCGGAATGCAGGATCACTCTGCAACCCCCCCGTCTCGGAGGCAGTACTCCACCTCCCACTTCAGAGACAGCACACAATCTTGCCCCTCCAGAGACAGGACTTGCCCCGTTTTAGCCACTAGAAATGTGGAAAATATGGTACAGGTGCAACCCAATACTTACATAAATCACCTAAACATTGTGCCTCCATCTGCCATTCTTCCCAGCTCTCTTCCGGTTACTGATTACTTTGGATTCTCCCCTAGTCAGCCAGGAGCAGGCACTGGAAACTTACCATTGCTTTTAGGTAAGGTGACCAGACGTCCTCCTTTTGAGGGGCTTGTCCTCCCCAATAATTATGTCCTCCTTTGAAAAAAAATTGTCCTTCTTGTCCTACTTTGCCAAAAAAAACCCTATCCCACGTTCCTTTTTTTTTTTGTTTGACCAAAAAATACTGGCTGTGGGGTACTTTTTGCGAGACCATCTGGCAACCCTAATATACAAGTATGCTTTTTTTTGTCAACTCAGTGTCCTCCTCGCACAGTTTCAAATTCTGGTCACTTTATAATAAGCATGTACTCCCACTCCAGGCCTACAAAGCTGAGCAGTTGGTTTTGATGATGGGGGGGGGGGGGGGGGGGGGAGAAAAGCGGGGAACAT